CACGTTTTATTTCTCTGTCTCCGTGCGTGTGTGCATTGCCGTTGTTTATTTCGTTTTTTTTTTGTTAGGGTCGAACATCATTTTTGGGCTTGGCGCACATAGCTTATTATTTTTTTGTTCTAACTGCCTGCGCCGCCGCCGCTGCTGCTCTGGATTTGCTGTTGGCCGCTCTGCATGCGCACGGAAACAGAGGCGCCGGCTGCCTCGGGAGATCACCGCGAAAAGGTGTCAGGCGTTGACCCAAACTCTGGCGACGCCGAGGGGCGTTGGAGCGCATGTGCGGTGCTGGCGGAGCGTCTGCGTCTGTTGCAGCTGCGTGGGAGGGCCCTGGGCACTCGGCTGGGCGAGCTCAGGAAGGCGGCTGACGCGATGGGCCACGCTGAACCAGAGAGCAGCTGGGAGAGCAAAGGCCTGTCAAGCTCACCGCGAGAAGGCGAGGCGAAGCCGCAGAGGGTGGCCTCCCCTGGGGAGCGTCCATTCTTCTCCTACCCTTCCTACGCGGCCGTCCGCGTGAGAGTGGAGCCGCTCTTCGCGCCGATCGATGGCGGCAGTCCGCAGCGGCCTGGCCGTTTTCAGGAGGCCGGCTGTAGTTTACCCGCTGCTTCTCCAGCTGGGCATGGCGGGGGGCGGGGGGCGGGACAGTCGCCATCGCCGCCGATAATTATCGTGGAGGTCATGGATTCGGACGCGGCTGCGTGCGACGTGCTTGCCTCCGTCGCAGGCGAGGAGCAGGGGCTGGCCGTGGAGGGGGCAGAGCCACACCCCGCAACTCCACCGGTTGCGGCTGCCGTCACGCAGCGACCGCGACACGACGGCAGTGACCGCGCAGGGCAACAAGCGCACATCTCTTTCCTAGTGGACCAGATCCAGCAAATCGACGCGCCAGCTCGGCTTGCATCTCCAGCTGTCAATGTGTTTCGGCGAATCCGTGAGGGTCCCCGTAACCAGGGGGAACCAGAAAACAAGAGTATTCCTACGGAGGATAGTGGCATTCAGGCAATAGAGACCACACAAGTGGCGGGGGACGTTGCCGCGGTCGCGGACGCTGGCCAGACGCAGCCACCAGCACGTTTAGATGCCGCTGCCTCAGCTGTAGATAATGGGACTGTTACTGCTCTTCCAGCAGAGGGTTTGGCGTCTGCGACGCCGATGCCTTGCACTACGTGTAAGATTCCTTCTCTGTCGCCGTCATCGTCGGCGACGCGGGCGTTTCCAACGTCGTCGCCGTTGCCATCTGCACCTGTGGGGTTAAATGGTGCATGTGAATCGGGCTTCGAGCCCTCCCAGTCTGCCGTGGACTACGAAGCAAAGGCACGGGAGCTGCTTCAGCGGGGGGAATGGAAAAAAGCAGAGGACACAAGGGGGAAGGTCTACTACTACCATGCCAAGGAACGAAGGTCATGTTGGAACTTGGCGAAGGAGCTACGCCGCTTGGCGGGTGCGTAGGAGACAGAGGCGGGTGGAAGTGACGCGGCTGCGCTGCGGCGTTGGGGAAGTGTGTGAGATACCTGAATGCCTCCTGTCATTTGCTTGGTTGCTTACATGTCGCTCGTGGGACTGTTTTTCCTCTGCGTCGGGTGGGTGCGTGGGCTTCCTTCTCCCTCAGCTCAAAGGAGGAAGCCACAGCAGCGGCAGCAACAGCAAAAAAGAAGAGAGATGTGAAAAACAAAATAAGCAAAAACAAAGACAGTGAGACAAAAGGACGAGTGGGCAAAGTAATATTGCATATGACCGTTATG